GTTTGAGCTCAATTCGGCTGAGGTTATGGATCCAAACGGAGGTGTATGGCATCCGATTGCAAATATGGGCACAAACATGGCCTGTTATGATTCAGCTGTTCTTGATGGGAAGCTTTTTGTAACCGAAGGTTGGTTTTGGCCATTTTATGTTGTGCCACGTGGCCAAGTTTATGATCCAAGAACCGATCATTGGGAATCCATGGCAACGGGGCTCCGTGAAGGGTGGACCGGGTCAAGTGTTGTGATATACGGGCGTTTGTTTGTGGTATCGGAGCATGAGAGGACAAAACTTAAGGTTTATGACTCGAGTCATGACACATGGGAAACCATCAAAGGGCCTCCCTTACCCGAGCAAATTTGCAAGCCGTTCGTGGTGAACGGATGCAACGATAGAATTTATGTTACGGGTCGAGATCTTTTTGTTGCAGTTGGTCTTATTCATCGGTTGAACAGCAGTTCAACCGATGAAAATATAAAGTTTGCAGTCGAGTGGCAGGTCGTGGAAGCCCTAGAGGTTTTCTCCGACCTGTCACCTTCTAGTGCACAAATTTTATTTGCGTAGCCTTAGTATAATTTTCCATGTATTGTACTTCAACTTATGTAATTACATTAGTACTAACACTTTTAGTGTTTTTGTGTTGTTACTTTTGTATGCTTTTAGTGTTGATTTGAGTCTTTATTTATGAGATACATCGATTCGAATCAACACGAGAATCATTTGGTGGTGTAAAATTCAAGGAAAAGATAACGCTTGATGATCGATTGAAAAGATTAAGAAGATGTTTATAAATTGTTTAGATAAAATATTATTTAATATATATGATTATATATTAAAAATATAAAGGAATCTGATTTGGAGGACCACTTTGCAGCAGGATTGACAGTTGGTGGTGTTTTAAGGTAAGTGATGGAAACTGGAAAGTGAAGCCATGAGCCCATGATTCCTTGAACAAAGTAGAAAGCAGTTGAAAAGTTGAAAGAAAGTACAAACCAAATTTGATTTCTCCATTTATTTGAAAAATATTAAAAAAAACATTAAAAACATTAAAAATTGTGTTAACAGTAAAATTAAAAAATAAAATTACTAATATAGCCAAATGTATTAATGATTTTTCACAAAAATGAGCAAATATCTCATTTTAGCCATCTAAACCGCACCCGATATTAAGTCAATTGCGGTTTGTGTATCTCACCTAGATTTCGGACATGCCCAAGTGTGGTATTGGACATTTGGGCAACGGTTTTGTGATCATTAACAGCCTATAGCCCGTACTCATTTAGGTCATTTTCAGGTTTGTAAACATATAGAATTCTCTCTAAAGACTAATGTGAACAACAATCATGTTAACACTCTTATATTTTGAATTTTATTAGTTTTTTATCGTATACATAGAAATATAGTAATATTAGGTTTGGATTTGTGGGGAAAAACAAATTTTTTTTTACCCAAACCGTAGATGAACATGCCATCTGCAATGTATAAGTCCTTGATGCACAAATTGTGTATTAGAAACTTATACACCACATATGAACATGCCATATACGGTTTTCTTAAAAAAAATATTTTTTTCTTATTTTTTTCTTATTTATTATTATTTTTTTACCTTGTTTAGTGATATGATATACGATTTTTGGTGTGATTGGACATTTTGAACAAAATAGCATTTGAATGTCGAGAAACGAAATAACAGTTTAGGGATGAAATAGTAGTTGTGTTCTTAGTCAACTGCTATTTTGTTCTTGAAATTGCAATTATTTTCAATGGTCTGCATCTTGAAATTGCAATTATTTTGTGAAGAAAAAACGATTTTTTTTAATAATCATGCGAAATCACAACTGAGTATGAAAACTGTAGGCATGTTTGCCTCAGCTACGGTTTGGACGGCTAAAATGAGATATTAACTCATTTTGGCTCTTAAATAGAAAATCATTAAGACAGTTGGTAAGATTAAAAAGATTGTAAAAAAAAAAAAAAATCGACTTAAGAAAAGCTGGTAATCAAGAAGATAGGAAAACTTTTGTTTTGTTCTTATTTATTTAGAATATTAGATATGTGTACAAATCTTAATTCATATCAATAGTATGATTTTGATAAATTTAATATAGAAGCATCTGAATTTTGTATTGTTTTTTGTTTACGAAATTCAAATTTAGAATTGAAAAGGAATAGTAAAAAATATTTTTTTTCATGACATATTTGATGTAAATGATATTAATTTGAAAGTTTTATGTATATATCAAAATTTTAATGAATTATCTCTCAACAAAAATAAAGTAAATAATGTATTCGATTACGTATGATATAAAAGAGTCAAAAAAGTTGCAACCAGTATTTTTATTTTCTTTCCAAACCGTGGGGTTACTTTTATTTGGTGGGGAAGCGAAAAAATGGGGGAAAGGAGAAAGGTGACCACGACGTTTGTTATGTTCATACCGGCAATTGCTTTTCTTAAACATATATTATATTTTCTTTATTTTATGTTTTCATGTGGTAAAAATGTACGAATATGTAGATGGGGTTAGATTCAAATGATTTATGATTGTATAAATGATTTTCAATCAAGGAATCTAATTAGAATTCAAATGATATTTTATCTATAAATAACTTATTTTTTTAGAATTTTTTTTACCAGAATCTTTGATTTTTTTGATTGGACTCTCCAAAATTATTTATACATCTATACATTAACCACATACTCCTTTGTAACTGAGGTTTTGAATTTAAGTCTGGATGATACCTTTTTCATTTCGATGGTTTTTTTTTTTTTTTTTTTTTTTTTTTTTTTTTTTTTAAATAGTAAAATCAATCAGATAAGCGGCGAACTTTATTTTGAAATATTTAATTGTCATTACTATGAGGGTCAGAGCCTGTATGACTTTCAGAGTTTTTAGGGCTTTGAATATATATATATATATATATATATATATTATATATATATATATTATATATATATATATATATATATATATATATATATACTAGGTTAAAACCCGTGGAACCTATGGGTGCTGTTTTTGAATTGAATTTAAAAATTAATTATTTAATAAAATATTATATCAATAATTCTGATAACTATAAATTGTAATATTGAATATTTAAATAATTTTTTTATTGGTAATTATTTAATTATTAAGTAAACAGCCGTTAAAGGGAATGTTCCATTCTAAAAAATTACATAATAATGATTTTTACTGGTTAAAGGGAAACCAATGAAAGTAAAATGTTGTAGTATTGACTATTGAGTAGTTATTTTTTACTTTAAGAAGAATACCAACAAAGTTTTCATTTTTTTTTAATACAAATTAGATAAAGTACAAATTAAGCACCCTCAATCACAATATAATTTCACCTGTAAAAGTATCAAAGTATCAAGCTCAAGATAGCTTTAACATTTGAACAATAATAACCACATATGCAATATCGGCCAAAAATTTAAAATATTAAGAAAAAATTTAAAAAAATTTTACAAGCAAATATAATTAAAAGTTTATAAAATAAAATGAAAAACCTTTTGAACAGATTCGTGAAGAAAAATGCGAAGTCAAGAAGGACTGTGAAATGTGATTTGTTCAATATTGGAGTCAAATGCAGTTCACGTGTAAAAGCAAAAATGTTCGCATTTGGTAATACAAATCAAAATTGGGTTTCGCATATGAGGTTGTATGGATTGGGGTTAAAGATGCGAAGGTGATTATGGTTAATATTCATTTCGTATTTGGTGAGACAAACAACTCAAATGCGAATGAACTAAAAAAAATGACTGGAACATGCGAAGAAAGAGGGTGAATGAAGAATGTGAATTTTACAGTAGAATGCGAATTGGGGAAGAAAGCTAAGAATTTCGAATTTTTATTATACAAATTGATTGATTTATTTATCTGTCTTAATTGTTAACTGCGATATATCAAATACTTATCAAGTTAGGGGCAATATGGTCTTTACATATATAGCAATATTTTTATTATACAAATTGATTGATTGATTGATTTGTCTTAATTGTTAATTGCGATATATCAAGCAGATGAAGTAAGATCGATTGTTTTGAAATGCGATGTCAAATCTGTTGAAGGGTGTAATGATTATTGTTTTCGAATGGTATGTGTTCGATTGGTTATTGGGTTTGTATACAGGGATCGATTTTAAACGGAGGTTAAAGATTGTGGGAACGAATAACTGTTAAATTCGATGTTTTCTGGAACGAAGCCTTGGTTATTAAATGAATCATACGAAGGATCTGTTATTTGATTTTGGAATTGGGGCGAATAATCGAACGATTTGGAGTTGCGAATTTGATTTTGAAAAGCCAATCAGTTGGGTTCGCATATGAAAACAGATAAGTTTTGATTTTGGATTCGCAATTGGGTTAATTGGGTTATTGATTGAGGGACGATTCGTGAAGAAAAATGCGAAGTCAAGAAGGACTGTGAAATGTGATTTGTTCAATATTGGAGTCAAATGCAGTTCACGTGTAAAAGCAAAAATGTTCGCATTTGGTAATACAAATCAAAATTGGGTTTCGCATATGAGGTTGTATGGATTGGGGTTAAAGATGCGAAGGTGATTATGGTTAATATTAATTTCGCATTTGGTGAGACAAACAACTCAAATGCGAATGAACTAAAAAAAAATGACTGGAACATGCGAAGAAAGAGGGTGAATGAAGAATGCGAATTTTACAGTAGAATGCGAATTGGGGAAGAAAGCTAAGAATTTCGCATTTTTATTATACAAATTGATTGATTGATTGATTTGTCTTAATTGTTAATTGCGATATATGAAATACTTATCAAGTTAGGGCAATATATTTTATTTGAGTTATAACCAAAATCAACTAACTTGTCCAATTTAAAACAATAAAAGTATCCAAAAATATTCAAAACCAATAATATTTGACATCCTAAATACCCCAAAATAAAAATCATACCAAGCAATTAAAATATCTTTATAACCAAAACAAATGATCAAAATATATTAAATGTGTCTTATAACCGATAGAAACTCACTTTTCAATTTTTGGAATCAAGAGTGGAGTTTCCTCTGCGGTTGACTTTCTTTTAGCCTTAGTTGAACTTAAATCATATCCAGAATCAACATCATAAATTTCTTGGAGGTTGCGCTTCAAATCACCTGATATTTTGCAAGGACTTGTTGCGGTTGACTTATCAACTGTTGAGGGTGTAAAACTTTCGTCTGTTTGTGAGATCACATCCTAATTTTAAAAAAAAATGTTTGATTCCTAAAAAAAATAACTAATATAATTAAAAGTTTATAAAATAAAATGAAAAACCTTTTGAACAGGCTGTACAACATCATCGGATTCCAAAGCAACTTGATTTAAGGAGACAGATTGAATACTCTAAAAAATAAAATGGAAATATGTTAATCGTTATGTACTTTAACATTAAAGAATTGTAAATTTTCAACAATAAAAAATTACATACCATAAGTTCTATTTTACTTTCCAATTCACAAACAATGGACATATCTTCTGTAACTCTGAGAACTGTGTAGATGTTATTATAGTTGTTGACATTGTATTCTGTAATATCTACAACAAAACCAAACTTGCGGTTTTTCAACACGTTAAGTTGCATTGGAAATAGGGCATCACTGTCTCCGGCCTGTAAGATATATTTTAATAAATTAAAAAAATTAAGTAAATGTTTTCTGATTTTAAAGGTATGAATAATATACCGCATCATGTATCTTTTTCAACTCGTAGGCACTTATATTTAACAACCTCCTTGCTTCCCTATCAAAAAGAGTCAATCCAATGGTTCCAGTACAATCTTGTACGTTAATTGGAATTATATACCTAAAACAAAAAATAATTATGTCATTGTTAGTGTTGTTTTAAGATTGACAAAATTAATAGAAATAAATATGTCTATACTTTATAACTGACTGAAATTCAGATTTTTTGCATTGTGCATTTGTACACTCGACAACCATAGTTTCTGAAATTCCCTCAGGGTTGGTATACGAATGATTGGTTTTGGGAACAGGATAATTTTTTTTCCACATTTTTTGCATGCTTCATAATACCATGGTAGATTCTGCCTTATATTAACAATGGAAGCAACTAATAAAAACTTCATTTCCTGTATCATATCAAATGTAAAAATTATTAAAATAAATTATGCAAAAATAAAATGTAAAACATATAAAATAATGCAATATACCTTAATTGGTTCGGTGATCTCACAGATTGTTTTTAATGGAAAATTGCCCTTAAAGTCATCTGTATATGAAGAAGAGTAGCTTTGAAGTGTAGTTATGCTTTTTTCAGTTATACCGAAATTGTCATGACATTTCAACCTGTAATGTTTAATTTAGATTCATGAATATTAGGTTTTGTGTTTTTTTTAAGTTAAAATACATTATAAAAAAATAAAAAACAATTGGAAACTAACTTATTTTTAAACTCATTTATTTCATAAATGTCAGAATTTATGAACAATTTCGTTACTTCAAAATGACTTTTAGCTTCACCAAGACCTGTAAAAAATGTATATCCAATTATTAAAATTTATATAAAAACAGTAATTATAAACATCTATATATAAAGACTGAATACAAACCATTCCAAATGTTTAGCTTCAAAAACTGCATCACGATAACAACAAAATTAACAGTCGGGTTATTTTTTAGGTATTCTGAAATTTGATATGCTTGACTTCCAAAAATAGTAACCTTCAGATGTACAGAACTAAATAAACCATAAAATAGTATATTAATATTAATTTGTGATTAATTAAAGATAATAAATAATAAATAAATAATACAATATAATCTCACTCTAGGTTGCTAAGAGTGACTTTTATATAATGCTTGGATGGTACTGGATTTGAAGTTTCAAGAGGCCTAAATGACACGATATGTCCAATAACATCTACACAACAGATACCACAAAAAAATAAAAGTTTAGGATTAAATTCGTAATATTTAAATAATAAAATGTATAACCAAAAAAACAAATGATAAAAAATGATTTTATTAATATTTTATGACTAACCAAAGAATGTGTCTTTTGGGCATGTTTGTTCTATGATAGAATTAAAGTCAACAAACATAAATCCATTGACCGGACCCGAGAAATCATCACATTTTTTTAGGATGCTTTTCCAATCCAAAGTTAAGGTCTGTTTATGACCTGTATAACTAAAACCATTAGTAACAGCAGCCATATTGGGTTTTATAACTATATAACTTTCATCTTCCTTTAAAAGATGACGAAATCTGGAGAAATTCTGATTGAAGACACGAGCTTGGTATTGTGTACCCTGTTTAAAAAAAAATTAAAAATTATTATGTTCATGAAACATGTCTAATATTGAATGATGAATAAAAAATATATCAAATACAACAAACCTCCTCATCCATGATGATCATTTCAATGGAACAAACTTTATTATTTCTGACAAAGTTCCAAATTTTAAGCACCCGAACCTTGATATGCGATTTTTCATCTATCTGGTCAATGTTATTTAGGTAAACCTTATTTCCTATTTCCATTTTCTGCAATAAATTTAATCATTATAGAATTGTAAGGAAAATTAGCAACCTTTTAAAATGTACAGAACATCCTAACCAATAAGTAAAACAGAAAAATTATAAATCAACACATGACAATAACAACTGACTTAATGTACTCATAAATTTTTAAATTGAATAATTCATTTTATAATAAAATGGAATACAAACAAAAACAAATAATTCATATGAAATAATGTTTTAGATTGAATAAAAGTTTATATAATAAGATGGAACACAAATATATAATAAACATGAAAACGACAATTATACCGAAAATGCCCCTGCAACATACTAACACTAACAGATAACATAACAATGAGTAAAACAGAAAAATTAAAAATCAACACATGACAATAACAACTGACTTAATGTACTCATAAATTTTAAAATTCTAAATTTTTTTGAGATTGTATTTAGATAAAAACAAACAAATTTTAAAATTTCATACCATAAAAAAAAGTTACTGTGCACATCTGAAAAAGACTATTTTTAATTTTTTTTAAAGAAAATGAACTTGTAATGTTCATTAGTTTTTCGTCTTTTAAACTGAAAAGGTAGAAGAAGTAGACGATTAAGAAGAATTACAAAAAAGAAGAAGAATAGAAATCATACAATGAGAACGTGATAGATACAGATAAATAAGAACATGGAGGAAATAGAAATATTGGTAATTCTGATTTTTGAATACACTAACCTGATATTTAATTCTTGAAGCGTTGCAGAATAACAAAGAATGAAGAAGAATACGTTTGCTGTGGTTTCTATGGAGCAGAATTGTTATGGAGCAGAATGGTAAAAACAAAATAACCGTATAAATGATATTTACGTTTGCTGAAAAATACTGCAGATTTTTAGGGATTTAATGATTGCAATATATTGAATTTGCAATCAAAATAAACAAACTTTCAAATTTAATCATGATTTTCGAATCTGATTATTCATTAACATATTTTTTCAAATTATTTCCATAATCTTTATTCATTTAAAATTAATGCATGAATATTTTGAATGCAGTTGATAGCTAAAATTTCCTGATATATTGCATCAGTTTGAACTTTTATTCAATTTTCGGATTCAATGGCATTTACGTAAATATAGAAGAAAAAATGAGCGGGAAAACTCTATTTTGGGGGGCTGGGAGAATGTCACGTGGCCGAGTTCTACTTATTTATTAGAATTAGGATATATATATATATATATATATATATATGGGAAAAGTGAATATGCCCATAAGGGTATATAAACTTACGTACCCAAACTTACCATACTATGTCATTTTGTATCATATATATACATTGTAATTGTCCAATGTTCTTATAATTAAACTCCTAACTTGATTTACTTCCAAAATTTTTATAATTTCACATTTACTTTCCTCTCATATAATTTTCATTTTGAACTATAATATATATAACCTAATAGGTGTTCGGCAAAAAGATGTGATGTAAGAGGAAGATAATAGTGAAAATTTGAAAATCTTGAAAGTAAATCAAGTTAGGATTGATGTTTAAGAACATTATAATGAATATATCAAACAAAATGACGTGTTATGATGAGTTTGGGTACGTAAGTTTATATACCCTTAAGGGTATATTCACTTTTCCCATATATATATATATATATATATATATATATATATATATATATATATATATATATATATATATATATATATGGGATCCGGTATCTGTGATGACTAATTTTAAAGTTAAGATTCATGAAGATACATTAAAAAATTGAAAAAAAAATCTAAAAAAGAATACAAATCATAAAATTGAGCATAGGTTTATGTCTGGGTGAAAAAAATTACATCATTAAAATTGATCTATGATTCAAGTTTAATATTTTATTTTGCATTATTATGATCCATGATTTAAGTTTAATGTTCCAAAAAATACTTTTCCAAATATTTTTCTCACGGATATAGATCTATGTTCGATTTTATGATTTGTATTTTTTAAAAATTTTTTAAGTTATCCTCACAGGTACTCACTTTAAAATGAGTACTCACCTGATCCTATTTCTTTCTCTCTCTCTCTCTCTATATATATATATATATATATATATATATATATATATATATATATATATATATATATATATATATATATATATATATATATACTAGGTTAATACCCGTAAAAACCACGGTCAAATAAAAAAACTCATTATAATGATAATGTTCTTTGCATAATAATAATAATAATGATACTTTATTAAATTATAATATTAACATGTGTTAAAAGGAAGTGCTCATATTAAAATGTGTTAAAAGGTGTGAAATTAATAACTAAAACTTAAACTGCCACAACAGTATGAAAAACCTTACCAAAAATGAGTTCTACTAGAATGCAATTAACATATGTTAATCTAAAAATTATAAATATACTCTCTATGGATGTTAAAGCTTACATAGATTTCTTTCAAAAACTTAAACGCCACTAATGTATAATGAAATTTCCTTTGTCTAGTCGTCTTAACCATCTGATACATAAACTTCATTTAGAGAATAAACAAACATTGTTGTAAAATCTACACCACTCTCTCTATGGCACTAATGACTTCAACTTGAATATAAAAATATAAAAAAAGATACATGTAAGTATGGAAAACAATCTAGAGGTAATTTCAATACATACTCCATGTCAGATGCAAGCTTGTTGTACCTGTAACAAAAAATTTAGAATCATAAATCACATATATTTAATGAATTAATTTCCATAATTAGGTAAAAGACTTAAACACCATAAATAGAGTAGAAAGTTGGATGCTAATAAAAGTCATACTTTCTTTTTCATTTGCAAAATAAAACTCAAGCTTATTTTTGTTTTATGCATCATACTATCTGTAGGATAAATGTGTTGCGTCATGGGCTTTATTTGTGTTTATCGGATTGGGCATGTTCATCCGTGTTTTGTTAGGGTTATGTAGTATATATATTGCATGCATGTATGCATTAGTTATGTTTTTAGAGTTTTGTCACTTGTGATTATCGTTTTGTAACCCTAAAACACCTCTACAACAGAAGTTCTTTGTCGAGCTCTTCCGGAGTGTTTAAGTTTAAACATTCAACGTTGTTTGAGCCATTCTTGTGTTTTGTTCTTATTGCTTTATGTACTGTTTAGAATATTTCGATCCTACTAGATTATGTATTCCAACAATTGGTATCAGAGCAGGAGACTGTGTAACAAATACACATTCCTTCTGTTTGAAGAATACTATAGGGTTTTCGCTTTTATCGAATATATACGAGCCATCGTTTTCTTATCGACGGAAACTGTTGTTTTTGATAAAACCATATTCTCAAGTTACAGGTCAGACTCTAACAGTTTCAAGGAAGGCTCATCATGTCTCAAGACGACGTAAAATCAAATCCCATCAACATTTCCAACAACATTGGGTCTACTACTAGAGTGCCCATTCTTTACACGCAAGATTATGAAGTATGGGCGCACCACTTTGAAGATTATGTGGTTGGATCTGATGATAACATGTATCTCATCTGGGAAGCAATCACATTGGGTCCATTTGTTCACTCTGGAACAAATACAACTATGAAAACTCAAAAGGAGTACAAAAAACTGATAGCAGACGAGAATAAGATTCCTCAGGACAAAAGAGATAAACTCTGTGCAATGTTAAGGCATTAAGAATGATTAGATTCGCCTTGCAAGCTAACACCTTCCGGCTAGTGAGTTCATGCACTACAACTAAGGAGATATAGGACAGGCTGAAAGAACTGTATTCAACCGACGAGGATCTAGAGCACTCTATTCAAACTCTGCTTCTCTCTGAGTTCGGAGCGTTTGCACAAAAAACCTGAAGAAAGCTTGCTTCAGATGTTTGATCGCTACAATCATCTGCTTAGCAAGATGACAAAGCATGGTATTGAACGGAAGGGTATTGAATAGAAAGTCACCTTCCTGAACGGTTTAAAATCTGAGTGGATGATGGTTCTCTCAACTGTGAAAGCGCATGAACAATTCAAGGCTTATTCTCTAGTGAAACTTATGGGAATTCTAAAGTCACATGAAAGCACAGTATCAAAAAAAGCGAAGTTGGTCTCTGGTGTCGGCTCACTTGCTCTTATCTCGAAGAACAAAAATATGATTGAAGAAGAAGATGAAGATGACATGTCGGAGTGTGATCTTACTAGTGATGAGTATGCGATGATGGTGTCCAACCCAAAGAAGTTTGCTCGGAAGAAATTCTCTGTCAATAAGAACCGAAACTGGCAGGGAAGCTATAGTTCAGAAAAGGTAAAGGAAGAGTCTAAGAATACATCTCAGAAGGAGGATGAAAAGAAGGATAGCAAACTGGTGGGTGACTCAGGGTATGATTGCAATTACTGTCACGGCAAGAATCATTTTGCCAAGGACTGCATGTTGAAAAAGTTAGAAGAGAGAAGAGAGAGTGAAGATGATGAAACTTACCATATGAGAAAGCTTGAAGAGATAAAGAAGAAGAAAACTAGTGCTGGTCCAATGAACGCCTTGATTGTTCAAGAAAAAGTGATTGATGATGAATTTGGCGGGGTTGAAGTGTGGTCTACAGATTCGGAGGATGAAGAGGTGAGAAAGCCAACACATGGTAGAGCTTTCGTGACGAGACAAGAAAATGAGAAAGTGACTGGAAGATGCCTTATGGTGACGACTGGAATAACAATCGAGAGTGAGCATAAGGAACCGAATCTCCATGAAGACAAATGTTTTGCAGGCAAGCCCGTCAGTGAAAAGATCAACGACTGCGATCATTTGATCAAAAAGGTACAATCTCTTCTTGAATCTCTTAAAATTCCAGCAATTGATTATGAAAGGGAATTAAATGAACTAAAATTCAAATTTAATAATCTAAGCGGAAGTCTCATGCAAACTCGCTTAACAAATTCTAACCTAACTGACCAAATTAGCAGGTTGTCAACGAAGAGTGAGGAGAGGCGAATATGGATTGAGCTAAAGGAGCAGGAGTTAGATAAGGCTAGGGATGAAATAATTTATTTACAACGAGACAATTTGAGATTTTTAAAACAATGTAATATTTTTTGCTTGATTGCTAAACGTTTATATACTAATATCACGCAATTGAATTTAGATTGTGAAATAGGGAAAAAGATTCATAAAATGATCTTCCCCTTCCTCGAGTTAAAGAAGATGAGGTCATTGTTGAATGTGAATCAATCATGTCCTCGGAAGAAACTTCCATTCCTTATAAAATAGGCCTGGACAAAATTGAAACTTTCATTGACTCTAAGGAACATAAATGCATGTTAAAAAGGATCTTAGATGAAAATGATAAGTTAAAAATTAAAACTGAGACCTTAAAATCATTTGACTCATCAAATGCTAAATTGACGACAGAACATAAGATGAATATTGAGAGTACATCTAAGTTTGATGATGAAAGTGCGATGAGCGAGATCTCGGTGGAAGATGTAATCGATTGCTCAGAATTTCTAAGGAGCGAAACCGAGACTGAAAAAACGCTTATATCTGAAAACTCAGTTGAATATGCTCGCTTGTCGGATAACAAGTTGAAAAAACTCAAAGAAAAGGCAGTGGTCTACCAAAAGGTACAAACGGTTCCAAATCAAGTCTATGTTGTTAAAGGAGTATCTGAAAGACAAACAGCGGAACTGAAAATTTTGGTAGATCAAGACAATGCTTGAGAATGTGACAATTACTTCTGGTCAGCTCCTATTGACAATGCAGATGAAACTGTTGGCTTGTCAGAGCAAACATCATGGAGGGTGAAAGGTAGATACGTTCCAGAACCCATAAACAAACCCTCAAGTTACGTCAAACCAAGCACAAGTGGAACGAAAGAAATACTAGAAGAACC